TGTGTCTTTCCCTGAAGTTTTGACAACCAGCTTGCGTTCACGTTCTGATTTCGTGCTGAGATCACAGCTGAGTATTTTGCTTTTTCTTTTTTGCCAGTAGATTGTGTGTCTTCTGGGGAAGCAGGAATTTGTGAGTAAGCCTCTTTACAATATGTGTATTCAAGTAACCAGGTGTGTTTCGCTTGCAGTTTTAACAAGCAGAAACTTCACTCCCTGGTGACAGAGCGGTGCTACCCGGTAAGTGTTTATCAGCATGTAGCGTGTCCTTGGTCTCTTCCATGGTCTTTAAGGCTCTCTAAACCTGATTGTCTGTCTCATTTTTTTTCTGGATACAGTAAAGACAGAGCTGGGAGGGAAAGCACAAGTCTAAGTAATAGCTAATGAATCAATGCTTCATTGTATATAGTAGTTTGCTTGTCATTCAATTCACATCCTAATTAAGTTGGTGTTTACTTTTTTTCTTTATAGGAAATGGTCCGTGGGAACAGGTACAAGACCATCCGGTGGAGTTTTGTGGAGTCGCTGGAGCCTCCAAGAGTGGTTCATGTCCGATGCGACAGCATTGTGAATCGAGGCAACCTGTACGGCCAGGTGACAGTGCGGATGCACACACGGCAGGTACATCCCCTCGTGCCCCTTTTGTTTCCCAACTGACTCCAACCTGCTTCCAGTCCAAGATACATTTCTTGGCTCTTTTTACAGACTCTGGCAATCTATGACCGCTTTGGGCGGCTGATGTATGGTGGGGAGCAGGTACCCAAGGACGTTTTGGAGTATGTTGTGTTTGAGAGGTACTTGGTCAACCCATATGGCACATGGAGGATGCATGGCAAGATTGTTCCAGAGTGGGCTCCACCAAAGGACCCCATTGTTAAGGTAATGCCACCAGGAAAAGGCACCAGCATGGTGGTCTGTGTCCATGAAGCATAGATCCCTAGTTAGTTCTGGACAAAACCAAAGCTGAGCTTCCTGTAACAGGAAAATGGTGGATTAATCTGCAAGCAGACCTATTTATTAATGTGGCATTATCAGCCTGTAATAGGAGGCTGAGGGCATTTGACACGTATGTGATAATTTAGGGGGTTACTGCTCCCTGTACATAGCCTGGCAAAGTGATGCAGGTGCTCTGTCTTCCTGTGTTACTAAAAACAGGTCCTAGAGACGAAGGAAGTGAGAACTATAGTGTAGTACAAGGCATGTCATCCCATTCCCCCTCTGTGTCCTCCCCCATGCTGCTGCCATCTGGTCACTTTCCTGTGTGAGGCCTTTGCGGTGCCAGAACTCCCTGCTCACCCTTTCTCACGCTCTGTAACAGGAAGAATTCCTGTTACAGTAGTTCAGAGCAGCTCTGCATCGTGCTGATTTTGTTCCTTGCTTTTTCAGACGGTGATGATTCCTGGCCCAACCTTGGATCCCTCACAAGAGTATGAAGAAACAAAGTAGGAAGTTCCAGAGCCTCTACAGAGGCAGCAGTGCAAACAACCCTGAAGGGAAGAAGTGGAGAATGTCTGTGGAGGTAGCGGGTTGGATATGACTGCCTTTCCAGTGAGCAGTCAACAAACAAAGCGGCTTCAGAAATGGACTCCAGTCACTAAGAAGTTGTCTTTAAAGGAGCAAGAGGGGCCTGGGACAGGGATTCAGATGAGCTCTGAGAATAGCTTTGCTCTGTCCAAGTAGACTTAGTGTGCTGCAGCTTAACCCTCTCTGTGTTTCTGTGAAGACGAGAAGCCTGTTCTTTTCAGGACCGCCCTCTAGGCTAATCTCTGTCCTGAACTTGTGTTGTGAGAGTCCTTGGCAGCAGGAGTCTGTCCAGACATGGGATATTTGCTGCTTCCATGGGAAGTGTTATAGACCTGGTGGGCTTTCATTAAAACTTGCAGCAGTAGGTGTTGGCACTGTCTTCTCCCATCCTCCTTCCCTGTCTGAACTGATTCCCAGGCTTCTTTTTTTTAACTGAAAACAGGGACAAGCAGCAAGCACACTTTAAATAAAATTCTTCTGGGTGGGTACTGCAGTTGGACTCCTGCTGAATGGGTGTTTGTTAATGGCCAAGCTTCCCAAAGGGGCTGCAGCACAGCAGCGATAATTTAATAAAATTTTTAACTCCTAAGGTCAGCGTTTGTGTCAACCAATGCCTTCTTGAAAGGCAGCATTTCTCATAGCTGATGGGTTTTGGTGCATTTGTTACAGACGCTCATGGATTCAGCGATAGGATGTTGTAAGTGAGTGGCTGGCACCATCCTGTGGACATGATGACATTCGCATCAGGTCCCCTGGTTTTGCAGGCTGTGTGGGTCGGGAAAACACATACACAGAGATTGCCTTTTTCCGTGGCTGGGAGTAAGCCAGTGAGTCTGCTAATCTGTTCTTGCTCTGTTTTGCTCAGATAAGTTCCATTTACTTCTAGTCACAGAGCAAAATACTCACTGGTCATCAAATAACAAAGCATTTTCTTTTTCAACCTTGTCTTGCTTTTTAACTCAGCCATTTTCCAGAGCTTGCAAGAGTCAAGTGTGGGGTTTTTTTTCCTTCCTTGAAAGAGATTTTACAGAGTGTGCTGTAAAAGAGTTATGGCTCCTTATGCTTGCAGAGTTGTTCAGTGTTTCTTGTGAATGATGTTCTTTTGAAAGGGCAGAATATCATCTTTATGCTCTGTTAGGAGAGGAGCCAGCGATGGAATCCCTTTCATCTTTTTGGAAATCAGAGGGGTGTCACAATCTGTCTGCCTTTCCTGAAAGAACCTACTATATTGAGCCTTCTGCCTACGCTTCATTCATGAGCTGAAGAGAGATTCAGTGCTCCAGCATATGCGAGCTGGGCTAGGAGCTAAAATAAATTAGTGAGAACTGCCTGGTTTGTGTCTGGTGTGACTGAGGCAGCTTACAAGCAGGTATGGACGTGACTCCTCAACCAAGACCTACGGACAAGGTTCTTCAGCTCTGGCTCTGAATGAAAAGGGTGTTTTCTGGTGGCGTAGCTGCTTTTCTGGGAGAATGGCCTTTCCTTCCAGTCTAGCAGTGTGTGGCTCCCCATCTCCTTTGCCAATATTGAAACCTCTGCAGCTGAACTACTTCTGTTCCTGGACTTCCTTCACAGCCTCACTGCTTTCTGTTGTACCTCTTCCTTGAACTTATTTAGTGTCTTGCCCACACCCCATAAATCAGCTGCTAAGTGTGCACTCTGTAGATAATACTTTTTATTTTCTGTATGTACACTTACTTACACAATTGGATGATTGACATTCAGCGCCGAAGACCACTGACAGCACACTACAGCAATGCCACTTTTTGAGGAGAGTGGAAGTAAACCACAAAGTATCGGCAGGATGAGCCCTGAGCCCCAGCCTTGCATGGAGATCAGAGGGACAACCAAAACCTTCACTTCTGCTGTCGCTGTTTTTATTTGCTGGCATCTAAGCGGAGCAGAGGGACAAACCAGGGGAGACTGGAGGCTTTGTTGTTTCCCAGCTGCTGCCTTCCTGACCCTGAGGCTTCTCCCCATGCTTATGGCCGCTTCCCTTCCCTTGTGCATTTGCGAGTGGGTGGGCTGGAGTAATGGCAAACCAGGACCCCTGTCCGATGCTCTGGAGATCGTAGTGCCTCTGCGGTCTCAGCATCTTCTCTGTCATACAGGAGTCTGTTTGCATCTCTGCCCCAAAGGAATGGGTCTTGCAAATACAGGGAGAAGTTGACATGTGGGATGGCAAAAGGCATCCAGCACTTCTACAGATGGGCTGTAAAAGTGGAGGTTTGCTAGTGCCAGTGGAAGTGTTGGAAAAACCTCTCATGTGATGGGAAGGTGAGCCCTGCGCATGTTTGCACACATGCTGAACAGACACACATGCACACACGGTACGAGTGAAGAAGAAACGAATAACAACAAAGTGCTTTGAAAAGTTAGTGGCATTGTTAGTTAAGACAAACACCTTTACAGCTGAGTTGCTGCAAGAGTTAGAAGTGTAGCAGTGCTGTGAAGTTAGTCAGGAGGTTAGTAGCAGGAGTACCTATCTCAGCCTTTGTGGATGCGGAGGTTTCTAAAAGCAGAGCAGTGGAGCGGCCTGAAGGTTGGTTTATCCCACCCAGGTCAGGTGATGGAACAGAGATGGTGGTGGGCATCGCCAAAGCGCAGTGTTCAAGCACTGGGCTGGCATCGCTGGACTGAAACGGAGCAGAAGGGTTTGCTTTGCGTATGTGGAAGTCCTGTAGCTGGCTCAGTGACTTCAGAGGACATTTAAAAATAAATGACTTTGTATCAAGGAAGCAAAATGTGTCGTGGGGCTGGCTGGGAGTAACGGCTCTTTATCCTAGGCTTCGGAACCTGCCTGGTCCTAGCCATGCTTACAGAAACCAGCCTGGCTTAAAATGGAGGTGACAGCAGCACTGGGGGAGATCAGCTGGGCTGCAGGAACTCTGGAAAGCTGTTTTCCTCCCAATCGCATTGTTGCTGCCCTTAGTTTGACTCTCCCCTTGTTTGAGTGTCCAGCTTGCTGAGGCTGCAGTACTGCATATTTCAGGGTGCCAGGCAAGCCGTTCCTTGATGTGCTGGAGGCACAAACCTCCCAGTGTGGTAGGAGGACATTCAACTGGAGAGCTTGTGGGCGAGCATCTGTAGCTAGCAAGCTGCAGCTTTGTGTCTGCTGTGTTGGTGGAAGCGAACAAGGCTGGCACCATGGGTCTTTTAATGTATTTGGGTGCTCTGCTTGGACCAACTACCTGTGGGTAAATGATGGGTGGCATTTGCTGGCTACTGCCTGGCTTGAGTGCTTTGATGAAGGCAGGAGATGTTAATTTTCCCCTTGCTGCGTTGGTCCCCAAGCCTGGCTGGTTGATGGCCACCACTGGAGCCTGCTGGGAGTGTGGCCATGCCGTTGGCTTTGGTGGACACTTCTGTCCCTGTCCAGGCTGTGCAGGTAGGCAGCAGCTTTCAGCTCGAGACTTTCTGTTCATGAAAGCTGTGTCTGCACCTGGCTGGTGGCCGGATGGAGGGAACTACTCGTGGTCCTATGGGCAGACATCGGTTTTGGTTTCACTCACACCCCTGTCTCCATCCTGGGGGCTCACCCCAGCTCTGCCCTGCCTGTGGAGGGTCAGGGTGGGATCAATGCTCTCCACCTCCCACGGACACACCTCGGCGGTTTTCCTCGTGTCTGTGTTGGTCTTGTCAGATGCTGGCAGAGCCTCTTCTGTTTCCCAGGGACAAACTTCAGCTACGCTAGTGCCTGGGCTGGGGCTGCTGCCCGCCGCAGGAGCCGTGCTCGCTCCCCAAGGCAGTGGCTCTGCCCTGGGGCTCCGTGGGGGCTGGATGCCTGGCAGGATGCGGCACAGGGGCTTATGCTCAGCCTCGCCGTCAGATCTGCCCTTGGATTTTTTCAGCAGGACTGTTGCAGACACGGTGCTGGCTCCTGCCACCAGCTTTGACTTTCCCATCCCAATGGTGGATGCTCTGTCAGCTCCCCGTGGGTGCACGCCGGGTTTGAAGCTTCCCTTCTCTGAGCTGGTGGGCTCTACTGCTTCCCAGGGGCAAATATCAGATTTCCTGCTCTCTGTGCTGTCGGACTTCTTGGATGGCTCTTTCCCTGTAGCGGTTTTCAGGGAGAGCTCCTCTGTGCCCAGGCTCTCCCAGGGGCAGATGGCCTCGCACTCACTGCTCCCCTTCTCTGGTGGTTTGGAGGCACCTGCTTTTTTCGGTGGGAGGTTTGCCTTACCCGGGGCTGCTCCTTTTTCTAGCAGAGGTGCAGCCACCTCCCAGGGGCAGATTTCTGCTTTATCACTGGATTCAACCTCCTGAGCCTCCCAAGGACAGACCTCTGCCTTCAGGCTCTCCACGCTCTGGGATTTCTTTGAAGGCGATTTGGGCAGCGCTGGAGTCCTGGCATGGGTTTTTTCTGGGAGCTGCTCTGTGCCCAAGCTCTCCCAGGGACAGACCTCCTCCTTTATGCTCTCCACACTCTGGGATTTCTTGGACTCAGCTTTTGAATTCTCCAGGCTTTTCCTAGGGAGCTTTGCAAAGATCCCGGTGTCCCTGTGCTCTGAGCCATGGCCACCCATCTCTGCCAGTTTTGCTTTGATATCTTCAAGTCTTCCAGATCCTGGTTTGGTTTTCCCTTTGGAAGTCCCATGTGTGTCCTGACTCGGTCTCTCTTTCCCCAGTGGAGCTGCAGGCTCTTCCCAAGGGCAGATTTCTGTTTTAGCAAGAGGCTCATCTTCTACTTCCCATGGACAAATGTTGGCCTTTTTGCTGTCAATGGTTCCTGCTTGCTTCACTGATGTTTTGGGCAGAGCTAGGTGTTTTGCTGTGAGCCCTGTGCCAGGCTGCTCCGCACCTTCCCCGGGCTGGGAAGATCCCCACTGGCTGCTCCCCTTGTCTGCAGCCAGAGCTGTCTCTCCCGTGCCCCTCAGGGCCACTCTCTGTGAGGAAATCCCTTTCTTCATTTGGGAAATTTTACCATCATCTAATTTCCCTGCATCGGATAAGGCTGTTCCCTCTAAGCAAAGCTCAGAGCTTTTGGGAGCAGGTTTCGATGGGGGTTCTTCGCTGCTGGTGCTGCCCCAGGGCTGGCTGGGCACTTGCAGGCTGCTCCGGCTCTCCTGTGCTCTCAGCAAACCCAGTGATTTTGGTCTGATGCTCTCTCCTTCCTGCCTCTCTTTCTCCAGCTGAGCCCCCTCCATGTCCCAGGGGCAGATTTCTGCTCTGACAGTCTTTCCCCCGTCCCCGGTCTCCCACGGACAAACCTCAGCCCTCTTGCCCTCCACACTGCTTGACTTCTCCAAAGCCACTTTCAGCAGCTCTGGGCTTTTTGCTAGCGGTTTCTCCATGCCCAGCTCTTCCCTGGGGTGGCCAGCATCCACCTCGCTGCTGCCCTTCCCCGGGGCTCTTCCTGGCCCCCAGTGCTCACCCCCGCTCTCTTCCCAGGGGCAGATTTCTATTCTAATGCTGGAATCTGCCTGAGTTTCCACAGGACAGACCTCTGCCTGCCTGCCCGTTGCCCTGCTGGCTTTCCCCACTGCAGCCGGGGCCACTTCTGTGCTCCAGCTCCTTGGGGGGACCCTCTCGGTGCCCCAGCTGCCCCCGGGACTGAGGGGCTCAGGCTGGCTGCTCCCCTTCTCCAGCACCTTGGCTGGTCTCTCCTCGCCCAGTGGGACCCCTCTCTCCTCCCGGGAAACAATTGCCTCCTGACGCAGCAAGGCTCCTCTTGCTGCTGGGATGCCCGGGGCTTCCCGGGAACAAACCTCAGCCCTCAACTTCTCAGCAGCCGCTCTCTCCACACCGGTGGTGGACGGGTGGGGGCTGCTCGCGATGGGTTTTGCATGTGGCTGCTCCACCTCTGTGCGGTCCTGGGGATGGAGGGACCTGCTGCTCTCAAGCCCTTCAGCTGGCCTGGCCCCCTGTTCCTTTGGTGCGATCAACCTCACAATGGCTGCAGGAGCATCCTTTCCCGGCTCGGCCATGGCAACCTTGGCCCCTGGCTGGGGACATATCTGTGTTTTCCCACTGTCGGCCACTGCCGGGGTTTCCTGGGGATATTCAGCTCCTTCTTGGTGGCCAACACCGCGTGGGACTTTATGCCCCCCTGAGGGTGGCTCTGGGCCCCCACTAGCATCTCCATCCCCCTGGAGAGCGCTGGGCTTCTCTGCCAGATTCTCACCATCGCCTGTCCCCGGGGCTGGGCTGTCCCACTGTCCTTCTGTCCCACCGTCCCCCCAGCCTGCAGCTTCCCAGGTGGTGCCGGCATTGTTGTTGTGCTGGCAGGGGACCGCGTCCCCCTGCCACAGGCGGGCGGTGGGCTCGCTGCTGGGCCTCTGCCTGCTCCATTCAGGGCTTTTGGCGGCAGGGTCTTGGCTAATCCCCCCGAGGGACACAACTGACATCTCTGCCAGGCCAGGCCTCTCCCTCCTGCTGCCCCCCTCCCACTCGCGCCCCTTCTTCCTGAGGCTCCCCTCACCCTCCCTCTTCCCCCTCAGGATGCTTTTCCCCCTGGAGCGATTGAAGGCTTTGATGGCGAGTCCCAAGCCCCGGAGGGAGGTCTTCTGGGAGGATGGCTTGAGGCTGGAGGGGGTGGCCGCTGTGTCACCGGGGGTCCCCGAGTCTGCTGCCTCGGCAGCTTTTTGCTTCTGGCTCAGGATCTCCTCCTGGACCAGCTCCCAGGGGCAGACCTGTGCCGGGATGGAGGCTGAGGTCAGCAGCCTGCCCTTCCCCACCGGGGGGGACGCATGCCCCAGCTTTTCCTCTGCAGATCCCTCTGGTGTCCTCTCTGGCTCTCCTGCCTGTGCCGGGGAATCTGCAGGCAACTCCGCTGGCTCCGGGCTGTCACCGGCCGGCGCAGCGTGCTGCCCCAGGCTCTGGTAGCGGACTGGGGGTGGCGGGGGGGTCCTCCTCACCGTCACCCGCACCCGGCCCGGGAGGTGGGAGCTGTCAATGCTGATGCTCTTGATGGGCGCGTAGGTAACATGCTTCTGCACCTTGCCATCGCCCACGGTGGACGTGTCCTTCTGGAGGCATCCCTTGGCAGGGCTGGAGCTGGCTGGCAGGAGGGCATCAGCTGCACCGGGGATTTGGGGCTTCTCGGCTTCCTTGGGGACCGTGGGGTGCTCCGAGGACAGGGCAGAGAGGTGCCGATTGGCGTACCGCTCCTGCCGCGCAGCTCGGCTGGCGGCGAGCAGAGCCTCTTCCCGTGCACCGGCGACGACGCTGAGCGACTTCTGCAAAGGGGCTGCGCGGGGCGAGGGGGGCTGCTGCCCGTGCCCCGCCAGGTTGTGGGCGCTGGCTGACTTGCATACGAGTGGGGCGGCATCGAGGGACTCGCTGTCGGATTGCTCCAAGGTCGTCTCTGCCATCGTCTTCCTCCCCGGCGTGGGCTCCCCGGGGGGACCACGGATGGGCAAGCTTTCCCAGGGCTCCTGCGCAGGACCCTCGGTGCTGCAGGACTTGCGCGGGGCTGCGGCACGGCGCCGGGAACCGTCATCCCGCATCCGCAGGCTGGCGCCGCCGGCGTCGGGGAGCCGCTTGGCCGAGGAACCGCGGCGTGCCGGGGTGCCCACCCGTTCCCCTCCGCCGCTACGGCGTGCCGCGGCCTCGGGCAGCTCGGCGAGGCGGCGCACGATGGAGCGGCCCAAGCTGCGGCGGGGGGCGGGCTTGTTGGGGGGGGGGGGGGGGGTGGCGGGCGCCTTCCGCCTCTTGTGCACCTCCAGCTGGGAGTAAAGCTTCTTCAGCTCCTCCTGCGCGCCGCGGGTTGGGGGGACGCGGCAGAGAGAGGGGAGAGAGGAGAGCACGTACGACGGGACTGCACGGGGGCTGCGGCTGGGACGACCCCACAAAGCCCCGGCTTGGCCCCTAGAGCCAGGCTGTCCCCATGTCCCCAAGCCCCTGCGCTGCCCGTCCCTCCGACCCAGGAGATGCAGCAGGTTGCCCCCCACACCGTGGCAGTTCACCCTGCACCCCCTTCTCCCTCCCCTCTGCTTTGCATCAAGAGAAAGATTGCAAAAGGCACCTCTTACTCTGCGCGGGGCTGCATAGCTAGCGTCAAAAGAAGGTCCTGAGTGTGCCACCCACCCGAATATCATCGGGGTCAAGACTGTGCTCGCTCCAGGCGGACGCGATGCTGCTGTTCAAGCAGGAGCCCGAGTGCCGCATGTCCAGCTCGTCCTCGTAGACCTCGGCCGCGATCTCCTCCCGCAGCGGCGAGCCAGCGTGGAGGAACTGGGGGTGGTGAGGGGTGAGTTCGTCGAGGGGTCCCTGAAATGCCGGGGAACCCCAGCCCCTTCTTCCCCGCATCCCTGGGCCGAGCGTTACCTTTGGGATGAAGACCAGCGCCAGGGTCATGGTGATGGTGCTGTGGGTGTGAGCGAAGAAGAGCAGCAGGGTCCAGTCGGGGTGCAGCGATGGGACCATGATGAACCTGGAAGGGGCGAGGAGGGCAGCGCCGGGTCCCGCTGAGGAGCCCACGGCCCCTCTTCCCACCTCCGGACCCCGCAGCCTCCACCTTGCCCAGGGACCCACGCAGGGAATCCGCTGGCTTCAGGGATTTGCTGCTGGTTCCTCCGCATCGATGGGGACAGGAATCTGGGTTCCCAGCCCCCTCGCAGCCCCGCACCCTACCTGACCACGTGGAAGGTGCCCGAGATCATGAGCTCGTTGTGGAGCGCGATCCCCATGTAGCGGGGCTCGTGGAAGGCGGAGGGCACAGTGCGCGTGGCGTAGCACAGGAAGCTGCCCCAGAGCAGAAACAGCATTTCGGCTGTTGGAGAGAGCAGGGAGAGTGATGCTGAGCATCCAGCCCCATTACCCTGCTGGTGTTGGTGTGTTTTCCCGGGTGGCAGCAACGGGTGCTGAGCTGCCCACAGGAATCTCCCTGCCTTGGGGCGCATCCAGCCCAGCACGTTCACCCTGGCTGCTGTCAGCACGTGCCACAATCAGAGCCGGGTCTGGCGCAGAGCATCCTCCGGCACAGCCGGCCTAAAGGCCACCAGGACTCGCCACCTGCACCGGGGGATTTACCCTGTGCCAGAGCGAGTCCTGGGGATGCTCAGAGGAGAGGGTGGGAGGCAGCTCAGGCACCCCAGCCCTGCTTGCAGGCTCCAGGCAGATTAAACGGACAAAGAAATGAAAACCCCCCATGCCGCATTTACGGGATGGGGTCCTGGGGCTGTGGGGACCCCCCGGAACACTGCGGGGGCTGGTCTCACCGATCACCATCATGTAGTCCCAGCGGTCGTGGCTGCAGATGTAGAAGTGGAGCCCGCGGGCGGTCTGGGTACGGATCACCAGCGGGATGTTCTTGTCGACGTTCTCCAGCATCCCGATGGTCCAGGCTGCCAGGAACCACAGCACCAGGAGCAGGATCAGCCCCAGCATCTTCAGCACCCGCTGGCTCGACACGTAGGGCACCCGCTGGGCCGTGCGGGACAGGAACACCTTCAGCACCCTGCGAGGCGCGGAGGGGTGAGCCCCCAGCCGGTCCCTGCTTTGGGGGTCCCAAGCATCCAGTCCCCCCATCCCAGCTACCTGTACAGCTTGAGGGTGATGGTGCCGTAGACGATGGCGAAGCCGAGCATGCGCACCCAGCGCAGGACGATGCAGCGGAAGATGCTCGGCTTGAAGTACAGGATGAACACCTGGGGCAGCGGGGGAGAGGGGTCGGCGGGCAGCACGGGGCTGGATCCCGCCTGCCGGGGGGGACAGCAAAACACCGGAGCCTGGGAAACCACCCGCTTTTGGGCCAGCCCCGCTGCTGCCCTTCCCCCTTGGCTCTATAGCATCCGCCGCAGCTCTTGCGGGAGGGAGAGGGGATTTGGGCAGGGATTAGTTCCCGCAGCCAGCAGGAGAAAAGGGATTTGGTTTCCCGGGAAGGTTTATACCGCAGCCGACGGGGGCCACGCCAGCAAAATTAACAATTAGGCAGAGTTGTGCTCGTGACCTGCTTGGGGACAGCTCGACGCCCTCACCCGGGGGGCAGCTGGCCAGGCTGCAAACGCTCTTAAACCCCAGCCCAGAGGTTTTCAGCCCCCAGGGCTGGCTGGATACTCACGGGGAAGTAGAGGAGGAGGGACCCGAAGAGGATCATCTCCAGGAGGACGACTCCCGACGTCCGGATCCTCTGCAGGGACAGAGGTGTGAGGGTGCAGCCGAGAGCCTTGGCCAGTGCCCAGAGGGGATGGAGCCAGGGCAGGGAGATCCCCCCGAACGTGCCGGGCTGTGACATCCTTCCCGCTGCTGTGACGTGCCTCCCCGTCCCTGAGAGCCCCCCCTGAGACTGTGGGGATTGGGGATGGGAAGGGAGCAGGACAGGGGATGCCTTGCCTTGCTCCGTCGGAAGTGGTAGGAGACGAGCATGCTGAGGAAGACGGCCAGCATGCAGCAGGCTTGGCAGGAGAGGATGGCTGCCCGCAGCGCCCGATCCTCCTGGATCAGGCAGGGCATGTCGTCCTCGCAGGTGGTGCATCCCTGGCGGCAGGGCCGGCACGCCAGCCGGGACCCCCCGTCTGCCCCCACCGTCCCTGGGGACAGAGCGACAGCCAGGTGAAATCACCGTGTCCCAGGCTTGGCGGTGCTTTCCTTGCCAGGGCACATGCTTGGGCTTCCCAAGGCCCTGGACCCCACTCCTGTAGCCATGTGTCACTGGGTGAAATGGGGACCCCGGGACCGGGAACGTCACCCACCTGCCCGGGCACCGCTGGCAGCTCCGCCGGCCCCGTAAAAGCCCGGCTTGCACCGGCACAAGTACCTCCCGAGGACGAAGCCACGGCTCTCCTGGGGGACACACTGAAGGAGACAGGCTGAGAGGCACGGAAGGGCGAGGGCTCATCCTGCACCCCGTATGCTCCCCGCGGTCCCGCATCCCTCCCGGCACCATGGGCTCCAGCAGCCCCCAGCTCACGGGTACCTGACCCCGCGCTGTCCTCCCCCACACCCAGGAGGAATCAGTGGTTAAACATTTAAGAATTAAAAGCCAAAGCTTGGCCCCCAAATCCCTCCCTAAAACCTAAATGGACACCTAATGCAGCAGAGCGCACTAATCCTGCCCGGCCATGACGGCAGCGGCAGGCAGGGCACTGCTGCCCTAATCCCCCACGGCCTGATCCTGCCCCGAATGGGCTGGGCTGGCAGATTTTCTGGGTATTGTTGTTTTTTTGGAGAGATGCCTGGGAGCAGAGCCCGTCCCTCCGGAGAGCATCGCCCGTGGGTCACTGGCAGGAAAGAGAAACTGGTGACGCCTTTCCCACTTGGGGACAGCTTTTTGTCTTCAGGGTGGGACCCCAATCTGCACTGAGATGGGGGGCTGCGGGGTTTGCCCTGGTTGGGAATGCTGCCGGTCGTGCCGAGCCCTGAAACACGCTCGGGCATCACCGGCTCGCCTGGGTGGGCACCGCTGGAGGGGACTGGGGGCTACTGGTCAGGGCGGTTTGCTCACTGGCTGCCAGCCCCCGGAGCCCGGCCGTCCCCGCGGTGCCTGGGCAAGGAGCAGCCAGGTCACACGTTGCCGCTGGCAGCGGGGAAGGAAGATTTGCACAATAAACCCCTCGGCTGCGGTGCTGAGAGCAGCTGAACGAAGCAGATGGATCGGCTGGGAGAGGATAAAGCTCAGCCCAGAGGGAGGGACACGCAGCAGGGACAGCCCGGCCGGGGGGACAGGGATGGTTCGGTGCGGGGGACCCCCAGCCCTGCCAGGCGAGGGGATGGGGTACAGGGTGCCGGGTGCCGGCGGCCGATACCTGGGTGCTGTTGAGGTCGCAGCGGTGCGTGTCTGCGAACCAGCCCGGCCCGCTGGCGCACTGGTCGATGGTCACGTCCCGCAGCTCGATGTCCACCCGCACGACGCCCCTGTGCAGAGGGACGGGGGTCAGCCCCGGGGGGGCCTCCCCGTGCTCCCCCCGACCCAGCGTGGCCGTGTCCCATTGCTGCCTCTGGGACAGGCAACGGGGGAGGACACGGCCGCGGGGGTGGCTGGTGCTGGTACACGGACTCGTTGGGCAACGCGAGGTGTCAGCAACGTCCCCGGAGCCCCGGTCAGGGATGTCCCCCCTTGGAACCGTGTCTGGGGGAGGTTGGAGCTGGGACAGGGGTAGCAGCTCCTGGGTGTGAATTCTGCCTCTCAAGAGGGGCTTTAATGCAACCCATTGGGAAATAGGTGCTGCTGGGATGGTCCCTGCGTGCCGTCCCTTGTCCCTTGCCCTGCGGGACCAACCCTCTTCCCTGGGTGCCCAGAGGGGGACACGGTTTCCCCCTTGGAAATGGGGTCACGTCTCCTCTCCGGGACAAAAGCCAGTTGTCCCCTTTGCTCCCCAGTGCATCCCGCCGTGGCTCCTCACGCAGGGGTACCGGAGTGCAGCAGGGACCCACCAGCCCAGGGATGCCCCCCCAGTTCAGAGGAGGGGGCCCAGCGCAGCTCACCCACCACCCCCCCCCGGTGCGGCTGTGGTAGGGGGTTCTGGGGGTGTCAGCCCGAGGTGGGCAGCACGGCGATGACCGAGGGGGGACAGGGGTCAGGTCCGCGCCTGTGGACGTGCAAATACCCACGCGTGCGCACGTGCACGGGGACGCAGGCAGGGGGGTGGCACGCTGCCAGCACCCTGTACCACGCTACCTGCGCCCCAGGGCGATGCTTCCCACTGCACCCCCCCAGCATGCCCACGGGGTACCCCCCCAACACTCTTACATCCCCCCCTACCCACCTCCCAACCCCTCCAGGCACCACTTACTTGAACTCAGGGCTAAGATCTGGCTTGAGCCCGTAGAAAGCGGAGGAGAGCGTGACCGCCCAGGCGGGCAGGAACCTGCCGTCCCGGCACTCGAGGAACGGGGGGGACCACCGCACGTGGCCCGGCTCCCCCATGTAGCTATCGCCCCGCTGCCACTTGGGGGTCTCCATGCTGCGCAGGTCATTGCTGAGCACCCGTTTGTGGAGGAGAGGGTTCCGCTGGGACTTGAAGGAGTTGAACCACTCGTTATCCCAGCTGAGGTTTCCGAGGCCGGGAGCGGTGGAGGAGACGTCCTGCAGCAGGATTTCACCGTTCCCTTTGGTAGCCTGCAGCATCAACCGGGGCTTGGCGGCCAGCGGGTGGGCGTCGAGGGCGAGGACCGCCCGGCGCACCCACGGGTGCCCCTCTGCCAGGCTGCGGACCAGCGCCTGGTACCACTCCACGTCCTCGGCCACGCTGGCTTCGCGGATGTCGTTGGTCTGGAAGAGCATGTTGAGGAAGTTGGCGGCGTGGGCCAGAGCCTCGGGGGCGGCACGCAAAGCGGAACGTAGCGCCGGGGGGGGGCCGGGCCCGGCTCCCCCCCCCGCGACACCCCGGCTGCAGTTGGCCCGGGCCAGCCTCTGCGCATCGCCCGTCTGCAGGAAAGCCAACGCCGCCGCCGAGCCCTCGGGGTCCCGCGACGATCCCGGCTCCGGCGTGGGCGCCCAGGAGGATGACGGGGCCGGGGACCATCCCGCCGGCCGCGGGGGTCTTTCTTGCGAGTTCTGGCCCCCCGCGAGGACGGTGCCGCGGACCAGCGCCACGTGGAAGCACCAGAACAGCGACCACCGCCACGGCCCCATGGCTGGGGCTCAGCGGAGCCCCCCGGCCCACCGCGGCCCCACCGGCCGGCCCGGGTCAGGCATGGCGGGCACGATGCCCGAGCCGGCCGGGAGCCAGCTCTGCTCCGCAGGGCCGGACTCACGCTCTGCCGCCTGTTTTCTTCCCTCGGCGATGCCGGAGCAGACGTCACCGGCTCCAAAACGTGTTCATCTGCTGGTGCTGTCTGCCCAGAGCCCCCCCCGCCTCGCCTCCGCTCGCCCCCCCGCGCTCCCGCTTGGGCAAACCACCCTGCCGGGGAGCCCCCCGCCCTGAGCTCCGTGGGGACCCCAGCACCCTGACCCCCTTGGGCTGGCCATGATGCAAGCGCATCCTGATGGGAAGCCATGGCAACGGGGCTGGGAATTTTCCTCCCGGCATCCCCCTCCCCGCGGCCCCCTCGGCAGCCGGGGCGAGGGAGGGAGGGGGGAGAGCAGGTCACCCGCTGGTTCCCCATATGGTCCCGGGTTTCGATCCCGCAGTGCCCGGCCCCCCGCCCTGGCCATGGGATGGAAATGGGGGGGGTGGATGGCACACAGGCGGGGTGTCCCTGTGGGGGTGAGGGTGGCGAGTGCGGTATGGGGGTGTGCACGAGCATGGTCCCCCCCTCAAGCTGGGAGATGGTGTCCTGGTTGCAGGGGAGGAAACTGAGGCACGGGAGGCTGCTCAACTCCCCGGTCCCCCCACGGCTGAGGCAACGGTGACTTCCCTCTTCACCAGCCTCCAGGCAGGTGTGGGGGGAGCTGGTCCTCATCACCTCTCCTCTGGTGGGGCGTGCTGCCTGCCAGAACTGTGCAAGAGCCATAAAAAGTCGTGCAAGAGCTGTGCAAGAACCGTGCAAAAGCTGTGCAAGAGCTGTGCAAAAGCCATGCAAGAACCGTGCAAGAGCCGTTCAAGAGCCGTGCAAGAGCCATGCAAGAGTCGTGCAAGAGCTGAGCAAGAACCATGCAAAAGCTGTGCAAGAGCCGTGCAAGAGCCGTGCAAGAGCTGAGCAAGAGCTGAGCAAGAACCATGCAAAAGCTGTGCAAGAGCCATGCAAGAGCCATGCAGGAGCCGTTCAAGAGCCGTGCAAGAGCCGTACAGGGCTCGCAGGACGAAGGTGCCGGGCGCCCGTGCCTCAGTTTCCCCAACCTCACCCCGCTGTCCCCGGGGGG